ATGCTTTTTTCTCATCTTTTTGTACGCCAACAACATTTTGATAGCAAATACCAAGATTACATTGTCCGTCAACATCTTCACCCTCGTCTGATTTCGAAAACAATTCAAATGCTTTTTTCTCATCTTTTTGTACGCCAACAACATTTTGATAGCAAATACCAAGATTACATTGTCCGTCAACATCTTCACCCTCGTCTGATTTCGAAAACAATTCAAATGCTTTTTTCTCATCTTTTTGTACGCCAACAACATTTTGATAGCAAATACCAAGATTACATTGTCCGTCAACATCTTCACCCTCGTCTGATTTCGAAAACAATTCAAATGCTTTTTTCTCATCTTTTTGTACGCCAACAACATTTTGATAGCAAATACCAAGATTACATTGTCCGTCAACATCTCCACCCTCGTCTGATTTCGAAAACAATTCAAATGCTTTTTTCTTATCTTTTTGTACGTCAACACCACTTTTATAGCAAAAACCAAGAATACATTGTCCTCTAGCATCTCCATCCTCGGATTTCAAATACCATTCAAATGCTTTTCTCTTATCTTTTTGGGTTCCAACATCGTTTTGATAGCGATAATAATCTACATTTTGTCCTAGCGCATCACCATTTTCTGCTGACCTAAAAAAACATTCAAATACCTGCCCTTCATTTAAATTATTGAATAGGATTATATAGTATTCATCATCACTTGAAATTTCCTCGTTTTCATCTTCGGCGCCTAAAACTTTATCCGTATCAAGATCTAGTACTTGTAAACCTTGAAACATCACGTCGTTTGTAAGTTTATTAACTTTCCGATTTACGTCATAAAGATTGTGTCGATTTTCAGGTGGATTTTCCCAACATAACTCGATGTATTTATCAGAAGTTCCATTAATTGGTCTTTGTTTCGCATTAGATGAACTTAAGTCAAATACATACTGACTTGGAATACGACAGCTATTGATAACCCAAACAAAAACACTGAGGCTGTGAATATCTGTTTTTGTTGCATAGAAAATTACTTAATACTCACCAATTTGTCATCAAATTGAAATTTTCGTTCGAAAGTTTCGAATAGCCGAAATCCGTTTCAAAATCGAGATCTGTTTTGCACCACCAAATAATTGTAATGAAATTAATATTAATATTAAACGATTTTGCCTTCATTTGGAAACTGATACAAGCTGAGCCTAATCCAAATAAATTCATAAAACTCAATAGCGGACTCTCGATATAATGACAATATAACGGATTAAGATTCAGAACGGCTTATCGTTATAATACAAGTAAATCTCGATATAACGGATTTCTTAACAGAATTTTTGAAAATCTTCGCTAGTGGATATCGAGTTTAAAATGACATTGTGTCATTTAGAACTGAAATTAATTTTCGACTTGTGTAAACTGCATTTGGGTGAGTTTTTTGTTCTTTGCTTATATTTGTAAAAATGTTTTGATGTGTATTCCTCTCGTCATCAAGTTCTTTTGACTTATACCTTTCTAATTTAAGATACTCTTTAATTTCTTTAAGTGAATTAAGAGATTTTAACTAGATTAAGAGATTTTAAATAGTTATAGTAATGAAAATGCAAAGTACTCAGTTTTATACTATACTCGTTGGTAAAGCTGAAAAAGTCTTCAAGTTCCTCAGCAGTTGGTCGATTTTCTGGAATAGGTTCCCAACAGTTTTTAATAATAAAATTGCACCATCTCGGAACATTATCTGGTACATGTATCTCAGGTCGTACTCCTTCATAGATGTCTAATCTAACACAAAATTTATATCATGACTCTGCTCACCTGTTACAATCTCGTACATAATCATTCCAACGCTATAAATATCTGCAACTAGCACCTTTGGACTCATATATGGAAACACTCCATAAATTCCTTGATTAGAATTTTCTGTATCTGCTAGACCGGAAAGTCCAAAGTCAAAGTCAACGATGCAGGCACAAGTATACGTTAATATATTTTTAAGGTGAAATTCACGATGTGCGGATCCCTCTTCGTGGATATGACATAAATATTTTAGTTCATAATTCAATTTTTTGTAGCTTGAATTAATATATTTGCGTAGATTTTCATAATGTCGATATTCAATAAAATCGCCAGTGCACTTGGAGCAATTTTTGAAAAATTTATTTGGATTAGAAAAACATAAAAGCATCATGCTTACACTATAAAAATGGTTAATTTCTTTTACCTTATTTATAAACTCTAATGTAATCTGAATTTGTTGAGTGCCGTCTCGACTTATATAAACTGTGAATTCCTCTGTTTGGATATTTTTGGTTTCGCTAACACTAGCATCGCTTTCTCTAAATATTTCTTCGAAATTATTCACTAAAACATTAACCGTGCGACCAATTAGGAGAATATTCCTTATGTTTTGTTCGTTTTTATCTTGTGCTAGTAATTCTTGCGTTGAATCACGTAATGATTTCAATACAACTTCGCGTTCTTTACTTCCCTTAAATTTATTTTCTTTATGATTCCACTCTGATCTGTCCAACCAGGTTGCTTTATAAACTATTCCAAAACATCCTTTTGTAAGATATTCAACACTGGTCCATTCGAAAGAGATATACTCATTATTCTTATTTTCGCTATACCATTTAGCTTCACAAATTAGTTTGTGATAATTAGACTTCCTCTTTCTGAGTCCATAAAGATGAAGGCGATAGTTAGAAGGTGATAGTTAGAAGAAGGTGATAGTTAGATGAAAGCGATAGTTAGATTCCATGTTTTTTAATAATATGTGCGTTTTTTATATGATACTGTGATTTATATAAAAAATTCTTACTGTAATGTTATTGAATTATTAGTAATGAATTGGTTTTGCGGTAAAGGATTGTTGACTATTGATGATAAAAAAAGCTTTATAAATATTCGTATTAATCGCAGCATCAATATTAGTATTGATCGTAAAAGGATGAATACTATCACTGGTTGTTAAAGCTGTGTCATTCATAATATTATTTCTTAAAGATAGCGAACTAGACATAGGTAGCGAAACAAACGCGTAGCTCTTTTGTTCCCGAAAAACAAATTCTTTATAGCTTGCATTTTTCGTCTTTTTCGGCTTATACTTACAACTAGGATATATGCGTTTGTAATTTTCATGAGCTATTTCTTCCAACATTTTGAAGAAATGTATGGCCTCACTTGATAGCTCTTTCCACTTTAAACTGCATTCTTTTGCTGTTTCTTTGACTTTTTGTTTGACGTGTGGGTCACATGAACGTAAATACGCTTCATAATCTCTTCGAAAAATTATCCAGCTGTTTTGTGGTCGTGGTGGATAATCAGATTTAGTTAATTCTTCAATACAAAGAGTTAATTGGTAAGGACATCGTTGTAAACTCAGTATTTCGTTATAAATTAAATATTTCGTTAATTCTTCAATAGAAAGAGTTAATTGGTAAGGACACCGTTGTAAATTCAGTATTTCGTTATCAATTAAATATGCGACGGAGCTAGGCATTTTATCTGGAATTTAAAAAATGTTCCTGTTGAGAGGTTGTTCTTTATAATGGTGTTTTTTGTTTAATTGTGAAACGATAACACAACATTTCGTATTACTTGGATTTTTTTTGCATATCGCTCGCTATTATCGTTACTCATTTTACACATGCATCGGACAATAAGGCGTATATATCTAATATAAAAATATCATAATTAAATCGGAAAATGGTTACAGAGGGCAGTCATATTATGACCCATATATAGATATATAGATAATAATTATCAGATTAAAAATCAAATATTATTGTTGATATTTTAGTTGTCTAGGTACGAGTAAATCATGTATTTAATAGACATAAAAATATAAAGATAAAGAGAGAAAACAATCTATAGATTAGCGTTTAAAGCACAAATCCTCAAATATTCAATAAAAGAAAACAATCCAAAAAAAAATTCGAGACCCACTTCGTCTTTAGTCTTAGCGGTATGATGTAAATGGTATCTTAACCAAGGACAATAAAATTAAAAGGCTTTATTTTGTTTCGTAGTAAAAAAGCTATTAAGATTGTGAGAAAGAAGATGCTATTTAAGAATAACATAGTTTCGAAATAATTTAAGCACTTTGGCACAATGCAAATGAAGAAAAGAGTATTATCTACATGATAAATGCAAGTCGAAACGTGATAAACCGATTCAGAAAATAGTTTCAATGAAACGAATTACGTAAAACCAATTACAGTAAAAAACAGGCGGAGTGTGCACTTAGAGAGGGTGTGCATTTATAGAGAGTAAAATATATGTGTCTTATAACTTGGAACCGAGCCATACAGTGCATTTAGAGATAATTTATATGTTTTGTCGATCTCGGAAAATTCTACTGCAATGTTAATTAACGGTTTCTCTAGATTAGGAATTTACGATGTGCGTGGTAAACAAAAAAGCACACTGTTTATCATAAAATTGTCGTATAGTTGACGCATCAAAAACCTATCAATTCTTTACATACGAATTAGAAATCGAAAAATTCCCTTATATAGGCTGCAAATAGTATACTTGAGTGCTTTTTAATTTTGTGTAGTATGGTGCATAAAATCTAAAGTCATCAAACGTTTGTATTTTATAAAATGCATAAACTTCTTTACTAAGAAGTTAATACAAAATTTAATCCGTGAATATGATAGAATAGGCCTTTTCCTAGCATATTCACGGATTAAATTTTGTATTTACTTCTTAGTAAATAAGTTTATACATTTTATAAACTACAAACGTTTGATGACTTTAGATTTTATGCACCATAGCTGCTTGATCACTAAAAATATAATGGGTTCCATTTAATGATAAAGTCCTTATACGCAATGATAAGAAAACTTAATATTAAAGAGGAACTAACCACCTAATTCTTTTTTGGACCAACTACATGTACTGTTTTCGAAGATTCTCGGTGCACTTTGGAATTCAGCCGCCATACAGAATACCCACTTGAAGTACCATACCCGCTGTATACATGTATTATGCAGGTAGTTTTAATTTAAGTAAAATGTATCATAAATCACTTATTTAATCCAATATTAATTTGTATAATTAACTTTTTCATTATTATAATCGAAGCAACTGTGTTTTTAATTCTAACGCTGAATTAGTAAAATTTTTGCCGTTGCGCGTCATTTTTAAACTTTATTAACTAATACTACGAATAAAATCAATAGCATCGATAATATATATATAATAAAGTACATGAAAATATCTGCATTTAAATAATTTGCGTATCAAGAAATTTGCAACCTGTTGATTCAGTGATCTTTATTTTAAGTTAATGCTTCATATAAATACCTACCATGAACCACTATATCCTAATCCAAACACAAACCTCCAACTTAATATATTCATCGTCGTACAGGAAGCAAATGAAGAAATTAGCATGGTAGAATTTAACGTGCTCAGGGTATTCTGTATGGTACTTCCGAAATACCCTATGTACAGTTATTTGTCTCTACATAAACCATTGCATCCGGAACGGAATACACACCAAAACGAAATAAACATGATTTTGGTGACTATAAAGATTTGTGACTATATAAAGGGGTTTTTACTAAAAGCTGACGGGAAGATTAAAAGACCACCTAATTGCTTTATTTTCTTTCGTCAAATTGTAAGACATACCGCAATGTCTTGATGTTCGACTATTTTTCGAGAATTTGGACCAACCACGACTTTCGAAGATTATTGGTGCATTCTTCCTCTTTTCCAAGTCTTCTTATAAATTACTGCAAACTTTTATTTTTAATTCAATTGAAACTGCATTTGTTACACATAATAATTTTTCTTTAAAATACATGTAAAAAGATTGAACGAAAGAATTATCCACTGTACTATGCCTTTTGTTACAACAATAAGACGTTAATATTACTATAATACATGTACTCATCCGTTCCGTTTATTGCTTTAGAACAACGATACAATGTATGCATATCGTCTTACAATCTGTCGGTACATACGTACTTGTTTTATGAGCAATATGTTATGATGAAATAATACTAAATTGCACGCATGTATATCCGCGATTGGTTGGTTTATATATAATGGTTTTCTTTGTTTTTCTGGTATCACAAATAGAACAAAATAGAAATGGGAACACCAGTAAAATTATGTATAACATATTCTACTGATCTTTTTAACTAATAAAACAGGATAACAGATTAAACAAAAAGTCTCCCTCCAAATATCAACGTTCAAATAATCACGTTCAAATAATCGTATTCATAATTATTTAAAAAAAATTACGACATCCGCTTCGCAAAAAACTTATGAATATAAATTATAAATTGAGCTAATCCCCCGTGCCTCTTAACCTCGATATTTATAGTTTGAAAATCTCAAAGAAAGAAGATTCTATTTTAGAATAACTTATAGTTTCAAAAATAACTGAAGCACTTTGGAACAATTCCACCAACGAAGAAAAAGAATCATACGAAGAACTAAAAGAATTGCAAAAGAAGTATTATACAAGTGAAGCGTGGTAAAACGATTCAGAAGGTTTTTCATCAAACAAAAACTAATTCCAGTCTCAATGAAAATGAAAGTGGTTTCAATGAAAACGAAATTAAATTCCAATGAAAACGAATTTGATTTAATTTCACTCTGCCATGTCCTAATAAAATAGTTGAAGAAGCCTTTTTTTATTGAAGACCTAATAGAAAGATTAACTCAAATTAATACTATTTATATGAAATTTCTGTGAGTGAAAACTGACTTTGATTTAAATTTCATAACGATAAGTTTTTCAAGCAATCAATTAATTAAACCGAAGTTGGTTCCAGGAACAGTTAGACTACTTCGTTTAACAGGGGTTGACTATTTATTATTCAACTGGTGTATAACGACACCCCCCTATAATGACATTGTTATTTAAACTCCTTGGATTAAATACATTATAGGGAGGTGTCGTTATATGGTGCATAAAATCTAAAGTCATCAAACGTTTGTATTTTATAAAATGGATAAACTTCTTTACTAAGAAGTAAATACAAAATTTAATCCGTGAATATGCTCAGAAAAGGCCTATTCTATCATATTCACGGATTAAATTTTGTATTTACTTCTTAGTAAAGAAGTTTATCCATTTTATAAAATACAAACGTTTGATGACTTTAGATTTTATGCACCATATCTGTTTGATTAAATAATGAGAGTGACTTAAAGAGGTTGTTTAATGACTAGATAAGGGAATTTATTTTTAAGTGTGGGAGATAACTAAACTCAAATTATTTGCTTTTTATAGTTAAAAGCCTTAAACTATTCAACACAAAGCACTTTTCAATTAATTAATATGTCATTTTATCAATAATAATACCTAACCACGATCAATTACAACAATTTACAAGTCTAATTTACTTGGAAAGAATTATGTGCAATTTAATTCTGTCTTTTATTGATGTTTTTTGAGGACCTTTATATACACATTTTTTTGTTACATGTTATGATAGTGTTCTAAAGCTATTTATGCTAATATATTATCCTTTAAAAGCAAAATTGAAAATATAATTAAGAGTGGGAAACAAAAACCAAGTGAAAAGTGAATTTGAAAATGAAAAATGGGTAATAAACAAAAATGGATTTAAAAGTGAAAATGGGAAGAGAAAAAGTGAATTACTATTATGGAAAAGAAAAAAAATGGATCCAAACAGGAGAGGCAGGATATTATACAGAGAAGCTCGGATAGATGAAGCAAATTTTCAAAATTGAGATGAGCGAGCTTCTCTGAAATTACAAGATCGATAAAATTTGTTATGGTGCATAAAATCTAAAGTCATCAAATGTTTATATTTTATAAAATGTATAAACTTCTTTACTAAGAAGTAAATACAAAATTTAATCCGTGAATATGATAGAATAGGCCTTTTCCGAGCATATTCACGGATTAAATTTTGTATTTATTTCCTAGTAAAGAAGTTTATACATTTATAAACTACAAACGTTTGATGACTTTAGATTTTATGCACCATATGATCAAGAAAGGCCAATTCACAGATAAATTTACTTAGTTAAGAAGTTATTGAATTTATAAAATACAACCTAATTGATGCATCATACTTGCAAAAGTTGAAAGTTAAAATCTACTTATCGTTATGCAATTACAACTCTAGTATATAATTTATTTCTTTTAGAATGAATTTAATATTGTTTTATAAATCTAGCAATTCCTAAGATCCATTATACTATACAAAATCAAAATCACTATTGATCAATTTTGATCAATGCGTATATATATCGATATCAATCAACTTTTGTTGCTTTAGTTACTATATAATGCTCTTCTCTATTTCGTCTAAAGATCGTTCTCATGCAGATTAGATTCTGCCTTTAAAGCTATTTATCCCCCAAAATAACTTCACAAATTCTTTAAAAAAATTTTAACGAAATCTTTTCACAATAATGAATAGAATACATGTCAGGGAAATTTTGTTAATGATTTGTGCTTTTTCTCTCTGGTGCAAATGTTTCGTGTTGGCACAAATGCCA